GTTATTGGAGAATAATAATCGAATGGATAATGTATAGATTATTGGCCTCGTTGAAACGATCACTGAGGAAGGGCGCAGAGAAAAGATGGAAACAACAATAAAGAAAGTTGTAGATATTGGTGATGCACTAGAGGCGCAAATTGTTGAAAACGACATATCCATTGCTCATAGGTTGCCATCAAGAACGACCAGAGAGAAACCAGTAGTAGTTCGATTTGCCAGGCGTATCAAAAAGATTCATCTGCTGCAAAAAAAGGAACCTAAGAAACACCGAAAAATTCAAGGTTGGTAAACATTTCGAAGATCTGAGTACTGCTAAGTTCAATTTCATGAAGATGATGAAGTGTGACGAAAGAATTCAGTCAACATGGACAAAAGAGGGAACAATTTTTTTTTGTGTGGAAGAGTGATCAAAAATATATAAAGTTACTCGGCTATACTACAAAGGTGGACATTTTTTGAATTACATTGTTGAGAGTGCGATGAACTGCTTCAATGTTGTTTTTTTTTTGGATTTCCAATGGACAGGAAGGATCATGAATCAATTGAAATTCAAATTCAAATTAATATGTGTTGTGCTAGTTTTACTGCTCTGTTATCTAATGTACTATTTCTAAAAAAGCATCAAGTAGATTTAGAAGCACTAGCACTTCTAAGTAGTCTCGAGTCTCCACTCAAAATACTTTGGCTAACTGAAACTCAGTTAAATGAAATAGACGATATCATAAATTAAGATTGAAGGTTTTCATACATAGATACCATGATACAACTAGGTAATAAAGTTAATCTAATTGATCAGTTGGATTCGGAATTACCTGAATCTGTCTCAGTTCTTGTGGAGTTCAATGGCAAGAAAGCTATAATATTGGCAGCATATGCACCACCTAGATACGACAAACAACTGTTTATCGAAATACTGGCTAAAGAACTTGAACATTTTGCCCAACGCAAATTACCGATGATTGTAACAGGTGTTTTAAATATAGAGACAATTAAAAAAAAATCTAAAGCGAGATTATCTAGATATATCTAGATATGATAACATGCAATGGTTTCCTTTTTTTCTAAGTGAGTCGAAATATTGATGCTTATGAAACATGAATAGACTATTTTTTGACAAGCAATTGAGAAAATGCAATCCTAACAGTTCTCGAAAATGATTGCTTTTCCGACCACTATCCGATAATTCTGACTGCACCTTTCATATCAAAATCTGAAGAATCGTTCTATTCATACCGAGATATGTCATTTCTTAATAAAGAAAAAAATGAACTGTTTCGTATTCGTTTTGAAAGAGAAATTAGAGTTGTCGAATCTGGTCAACGATGAGAGAATTAATGATGCGTACGATAAATTTGAAGTTTGTTTTCTTGACTCGTTAAATTTGTTTGCTCCATCAAAAAAAATGTATCCCAAAATCAAAAAACAATGCGCCCTGGTTTCATAAAGGATTGAAAAATGCCATGAATAAAAAGAACATGTTATACAAGTCACGGAAATCCGATAAATTGAATGCCAGTAAGAAAAATAAGTTTATAGAGCAACGTCGAAAGGGCGAAAAGCCTATAAGAGTTACAAAAAAAACACTATTTCTATCATAAACTTAATAAATGCTTAGAAGTATTTCAGTTTCTAAATTAAACAAATGGGAGAAGCCCAGAAGCTGAGAATTTGGCTTCGCTGCCTGTCGATGGCAACAGTTTATCGGATCCTTGTTTATTATCTAACGCCTTCAATGATTATTTTTCGCCAAAAGGCTCTAGGTTAGCTCTTACCAGTGAGCCTACTGAGCCAGTTGTTGAAGTTAACAATGCTAGTCAATCGAAGAATGTTTTTAATTGCACGTTCAGTGAGGTTATAAACGTTATTAAGAATTTAAAATCGAAACAAACCTGTGGAATTGATGAAATAAGTAATATTTTACTGAAAAAGTCAGACTTCGTTACAGCCCCTTATTTAACTTTTATAACAAACCTCTCATTTTTTGTGGGGAAGTTTCCCCAAAAGCTTAAGTATGCGAAAGTGTAATCATTGCATAGGGGTGATACAAAATTAGAAATTAATAAGTACCGCCTTTTTTACTGTTGAATAGCTGTAGTAAAATAATTGAAAAAATTACTGTATGATAAACAATTTGGATATCAAGTAAAATTTTGCACAATCGACGCTTTAGCAGAAATGACTGCACGCCATCGGTTGGGAGTTGATACAAATATTAAATGTTTTTTTTTTGTCGATTTAAAAAAGGCCTTTGATACAATTGACCAAATTCTTCTCAAAAAATTATAGAACGATATGACGTTCGAGGAAACTGTTATCAATGGCTCGAAAATTATGTGACAGACAGGTATCAATGTGTGAAAGTTAATAATTGTACATCGGATTTGTTAAATGTTTCTACAGGTGTCCCTCGGGGATCTGTTCTTGGCCCTCTTCTTTTTCCTATTGATATAAATGACTTGCATCAAGCAGTGTAGAAGTCCTGCGTTTTCCTATCTGCAGATGATAAAAACATATCCTGCGAAAATGCAAATTTCAATGATTAGCACTATTAACAAAGATTTCACAGATATTCATTCTGGATTGAACAAATATTTCCTACTGGCTATGTTCCAATAAATTAACACTAAATGTACAAAACTACGCTAATAAGTTTTAATAGACGTGCTTCTAATCATAATATCGAGTTTATTTAAAAAACGTTCGAATCAAGGGCAGCTTATAATTACCTTGGAGTAGATATCGCTAATCAGTTGTCGCTTAACCAGAACATTCAAATTGTTAAAACTAAATTAGGACGCCATTATGGCGTAATTTCAAAAATGCGTCATTTTGTTCCGACATCGGTTCTATTTGAATACTATCAGGCAAACGTAAAACCAATAAAAAATGGCTTACGGTTTAAGGAGGAACAAGTTTACCATTGTTAAATAAAATTACAATTTCTCGACTTAAAATCATTGGAATGATTTACTTCGAAATTAAGTATGATATTATAATGCAATGTTTTTCAATTAACAAAATTCTAACAGTACATGAGCTTTATGTTTACGAATTGGTTAAATTCAGTTTTTGATCGATTAATCAACGCCATTCAACAAATTTTCTCCATTCGTTTTTTGCTGAAACGTTTTTCATATAATACACGAAAATTTAAACAGTCCAAATTTGTTTCTCCTTTCTTCAAAACAGAGCAAATTATCTTCGCTAACCAGCAGAGTTGCAAAATTGCTTAAAATGATGAGTGAAATTAATATAATGCCCCCAAATCTTGAAAATTGACTAAAAATGAAAAATGTTGCTTTGTTAAAAAGTTTGAAGATCATTTTATAATAGGAAGCAACGATTTGGTAAGTTACATTTTCAATAAGTTATTTTCAGATTGCAAAAAAATATTACTTTATGATAATTCAAACCAATTGGTCAATTTATACCAGATACTAGTTATAGGGTTGCGAATCTCGGCTGAAAATATGACCGCTTCAATTCTTGTAATTTTCGAGATATCACTATTTTTATAATTTTTTCGAAAAGTTCTTGATACTTTGAAATTTACAAAAATAAATTTTCAAACGTTTGAATTTTGTGACCATTTAGTAAAATGGTGTTCAGCAATTGCACTGAGCTTGCGAGACTTGGCTGAAAAAATTGTCGTCTCAAATCCTTGTAGTTTTCGAGATGTCGCAATTTTTATAATTTTTCGAAAAGTTCTTGATACTTTTTTCATGAATTTGAAATTTTTACCCATTTTTTATAATGCTGTTAGACAAGTATACTTAGCTTCCAAATCAGGGCTGAAAGTTTGAAATCTCAAATCCTTGTTGTTTTCGAGAAATTTTTAATATTAATTTAAAATAAATTTTAAAACTAATAAATAAAAAAAAATCTTTAAGTTTTTTTATTGATATGCTTAATGGGTAGATTCTAAGTGGGCATTCTCGTGCTCTTTGCCTATCCACTCCAAAATCTGGTGCTCATAATGTTGGTTTAGTTTTTCCTTTTCTAGTAAATGTATGTTTGTTATATGCTGATGTTGTTTGTTATAACTTATGGAGAAATAAATTCTTCTTCTTCTATCGAGGAGCAAAAATGTAAAAGTCACGAAAAATGAGATCAAATTCTTGCTTCGAAAAGGTAATTAAATATCAGATTTTCCAGTGAAACTTGAAATTTACCTTGTGATACAGTTTTTTCAAACTGGGTAATTTTATCATAATCATGGTTGTTGGCTTTGCTCAATATCAAAAGTGGATTTGGATCTATAGGTTCTTCAGCAGAAAAGAACTATTTGATTATCAATTTTACTCAAACTTGGTTATTTTTGTGATCAAAATATCAATCATCGAAACTTCTTATAGTTCTACGAGCTCAAGCACATGTTTGCAATTAACTGCCGAAATTTCAATAAGTATCGAGGATTTTAGAATAGAGAACACTTTTACTACCGTCCAAATTTATCGATAGTCTTAAGTCATTGAAGCGTAGCAATGTAGCAAGGAAGACAATTGTAATTTTGGTAGAATTTGTCCAATTTTATCTACAGTTCAAGTTCCCGTAATTATTTTTGTTGTTCGATGCCGAAATAACGATTAGCATCTTGAATGAAGTCAAGTGTTTTCTTTCGGTCGGATTTGCCTTTTGGTAATGATCAAATATGACAGTATGGTCTGCTTCCCCTTTTTGTTTGTCATTCATGAAACAATAATCTCATTTCCCCAAATAGGAAGATTATGTTATGATTTTTGCAATCTGTTCACAGATTCGTTATATAATTTTTGCTCTGAACTTGTTTGATTGCTTTTCTTCAATTGTTAAATTGTTTGTAGGTTCATTTGGGGAATTTTTCTGTTTTTAGTACAAGGATGTTGTTTTATCCTGGATTTTTTTTTAAGTTTCGAGAAATAACTAACTTTTTCAAAGATATTTCTTTTTTGAAATTTAATATTGGGCACCGCAGATGGTGCGAAGTTACGCTTGGCCTCTCAGTTCTTTTGATGCAGGAAGATTTTGATGAGGCCTCAGACGAAGACAACACTACCTACCTGACTGAAGATTCTTCCTCTTGCCACCAACAGCAGCAGCACACAGTAGCAATAGCTGAACAGCAGAAGTTTCTGGAACAGCAGACTGTGCTGGAGCAGCAGGAGGAGCGCATACTGCAGAGTGTGATGGACAAGTGGGCGTCCTCTTCTTCATCCTCATCCTTGTCTGCTGCTGCTGTAGACCACGTGGGGGGCAAGGAGTACTCCTCATTGAGCTCATCTGCTGCCAATTGTATGGGTCGTCAGTTGAAGCACTTCAAGCCACCCCAGTTGTATGTCGCAGACAAAATCAATCGCAGTGTGTTCGACGAGACAAAACGTAAGTGAAGTGAAGTAAAGTGAAGAGAAGAGACAACTAATTGAACTATTCAGGAAACCAGCCACGAGATTAAATTTGTAGCAAAATTTTATTGATTCACCACAGTAGATAACGCCCTATAACTCGAACCCAATGGATAAAAGGTTTCTATCCGGTAAAAGTTTCCTCTCGGCGTAATTGTTGGCATATGGGTACTTTGTGTTAAAATTGACCAAAGTTGGATGCTTGAGGTATAAAAGCGTCGTTTTAAGTTGACTACTGCAAATTAATGGCAAATATTATGAGTGCTAAGATATATTAATGTTGGTGTGATAGAGTAATGTGAAAGTACAGGGTGTGTGTGTGTGTGTGTGTGTGTGTGTGTGTGTGTGTGTGTGTGTGAGGGGGGAGTGATGATCATTAGAAAAATGATTACTTTGTGGGATCATATCCAGGATCCGTTAAATTTTTGTTTATTTAAATGTCCAGCCCTTTAGAACTGAAAGATGACGGATTCATGGGCAATAATTTGATTAACTCACATCTGAATTGACAATTGCAGTGGTAATTGACAGGCAGAGTTGACTCGAACACTTTTTTTGAGCAAAAAAATGAAGTTCCTGGGAATATTGGAGTTCTATTCGAATATGCAAACTGATTAGAATGATTGCAACACTGGTTTTGATGAAGATGTGAAAGAAATGGAAAGGATTCGTTTAAATGAGTTTAAAGAAGGCGGGTTTGAACGTCATTTGGATAGTGTAATTGGCAGTGAGTGGGTGGGTGGGTGTTTAGACAAGCAGTTGACTCATGTGGTTGGGGAGATGCAGAAGTGCAAGGGACTTGAGGAGTCGGAGGGGGGCGAGTGGGTGGTGCGACTGGAGTCCCTCTACGAGGCCGCTCTCCAGGGACTGAGTCAGCTCAAACACCACCACCAACAACTCTTCAAACGTAATACACTCCATTATTGCACTATACACTATCTGCTCACAAGTAATCTGCAGTCATATATCTCTGCATTGGCTCACCTTACAACTAGTCTCTCTTCACTCTCAGGCCATATTTGCCCATATAGTGAATGAGTTTTTTATCGATCAATGCCTTTGCCAGGGTTTTTTGCACCTAATTGAAAAGGGTACGTCACTGATCGCTCTGACGAGGTGTTGTTGAAATGAGAAGATTTAAAGTTTCAGAGTGTCCGAGACAGATATGCTTGCATCTCATACCGTAGCCAGCAAACAAACTACCAGGCAACAGAATATTGAGAGCGTCTTCTTCAAAGAGTGGCAAGCTTGCAAACTAAGCCTACTTTTTTTCAAGTCTCACGCTGTGATGTCCATTTGAAAACAAATGTTTTTTTTTCATAAAAAAAGTGTCAATCATAAATTGTTCAAGAAGTTCGACGTCCATCTCTTTTCCCTCTAAAGTCATTTTTTTCTGTTTACTTGCGTTCATTGAATGTTTTCCAAGTATCTGTTGGCTATTTAACCCTGAAAAAGGAAAAAAAAGGAAGAAGAATCCCGAAAGAATGTGTCGAAAAATCCGGCCGAATTTCTTCATACGCGAGAAAAATCGTGAAGTCGAAAAAAATTTCAGTATTCTGAGGCCAAAACTGGATGGCTGTCCAAAATTCTGATGTAAAAGATTCAAAAATGTTGTTTTCTCGAGGGGGGGGGGGGCGGATTTTCAAAAAATATTCGAAATTTTATCGAGCTTTTTTTAGGTCGACCGAATTGATTTTCCGAGTTCTCACAAATCACTATAAAGACCCAATTTTGACCAAATTTTCTGCGCCGCAGAAAATCTTTCGAAAAAAAAACAGCCACTAAAATGTTTTGTTTTTCTGCGCGCTTCCCCCTCAAATTTAGTATATACTTTGCTCAAACTTAATCTTTTATTTCAACTTTGATATGTATTCAAGTTCAATTCTAATTAATTTGCCAGAAGGAAGGTAAATTACGCTCATCATTGACATAAGTACGAATTTTCTAGGTCTTAGACTTTCCATATTCGAAAAAAAACAATCAGTTTTGGTTTCCTTGTTAATCGACACTTTCGCAACTGCCTGTTGGCTGTTTTGGATTGAATGAGCATCAATGAAGTATTATCAGGCGACTGCACTGCATTCTGATTCATTCTAGAGCTGCTGCACTTGATTGTGGGCAATGCGTGTTTGGCGATCGAGTGGGAGAGGGCCCTGAGTCAGAAGATAGGCTTCAACGTGCGTCAGATCAAAGTGGGATGTCGACTCATCTCCATGCTCGCACTGGTCGACTACGAGTGCGTAAAACTGCTTCTCGTAAGTCACTACTGCTACCACCACCACTGCTGCTACCAACATTAACCGTCAGCTCATCAAATTTAAACTCAACACATCGGTGAATTTATTGAGTCCAGTGTTAGTTCGTTCACCGAATTATTTTTCCGGCCATTGAAAATGGCGAGGAATTTGTCCTCGGGTGCGTTTTAGTATTTTTATTCAAGTACCGTAAATAGTTTTTTTCTTCGAGAATTCTCAGCCAAATCGGAAATTAATGTTTCAATAGAAAGAACAGGTAGCGGGGATCTCTTCTGCATCAGCCGCTTCGCCCTAATTTTGTAGAAAAATGTTGTGGCCTCAAAATAGCCATTGTTTGGCATTTGGACCGTTTATGTGAAATTTTTCGGCTCTGCTCGAAAACCACCCTCCGAAATCTGGATGTAAAGTATCAATCGAAAAAGGGGTTTGGGAATTGTAACAGAAAAATAGTTATAAGTTTTGTAAAAGTCAAATTTGCGTTTTTGATCGTTTTTTGGAAACTTTTTTTTTCTCGAAAACTACTCAGATGGCGAATCAATCGTACCTGTTTGTTTGGTTTTTCCGTTTTCGAAGCTCCTTTTTGTCTTCAGAGCTAGATTTTGCGTACCCTAGGACGAAATTCGTGGGTGACGAAGTTAGTTTTTACACTTGTGAGGCGAGTGTATTAGTACGAACCTTCTTTGTTCCCAACCTAAGTCGCAAATTTTGGTGACCTTTTTGGGCCACTTTTTTAGGGTTTTCATAGCATGTGTTTTGACATTCGAATAGTAATTAGTTAATACAGTTGATGCAATTTTAATTCATGAAATGAACCGAAAAAAGTGATTTGTTTCAAACAGCATAACAATGATGAAAACTCGATTTCAGAAATTTTCTAACTCAATATATCTCTCAATTTTTTGAAATGCATATTTTGTAAAAAAAAATAATATGGATTTATGCTTTGCGATTTTTTTCATGCAAAATTAGTGTGCGTGCCTATAGTTTATTTTATTCCTATTTATTACTGGCAAATTGAGTCTATTTGTATTTACTGAATGGCATTGGCAATTTATTAGCATATGTTCAAATTCGAGGCATATGTAGCTGCTTTTTTGTGACTAGTGTTTGTCGTTTGTTAAGCTTGAGTGGATAGTGCGTGAGACTCAAAATCTCTTGATTGCAGTAGGTCGAGTCCTACACAATCCAGTAGTTCGAATCCTACATGTAACCGAGTTTTTACAAATTCGATGCTTATTTCTACTTTTTCTTATTTCACTTGATAGAGCTGCTTTTTGATCGTGTTCTCGGAAGTGTTTGCAAAGCGCAGCTTTGACTCCGTGTTTTTGAATTCTTTGAAAGTTCAGGGTCAAGTCACTGAGCATATCAGTCGCTTTGCTGACTCCGAGTTTTTTTTCTATCAAAAACGCGTTACATAGCATGCTCTAAACTGATTTTTCAATCCTTTTTCTGAGAAAGAAAGTCTTTCGTTTTGTTCAAGCTCGAATTTGATAATTCGCGTTTCGATTTTTGGTTTATTTTTAAGTTCAGCTCATTTAGTTTTGTTTTTGTAGGTCAACGATTCTTAAGGCCAGATGTTTTTTCTTTGAGTTTCAAAAAATCGAGTTTTTTAACTGTCTGGGTGGTTTTGATTATTTAAACTGTCTTTGTGGTGACTTTTTAAAATGTTTTTGGTGAGTTAAACTGTCTTAGAGATGAAAATCTTACTGATTTTTTTTCAGGAAAAAAACTGAAAATTTGTTCACGCTTAAGTTAGATTTTCCGGTTCGACTTTTCTTTTTGAGTGCTTTTCCTAAGGCAGCCAATCTTCACTATCGAACATCAAAATTGTTAATTGCACAAAAACGTGATCGATTTGTCGTTTTCAAAAAAGATCTAATTATCAGCGAAATAAAAAGTTCACCCATTGATCCAGTTTTTTCAAATTGGCTTGATTTTGTCGAAAAAGCACGAATCATAAATTGTGCGTGAAATTCAAATGGCTATTTAATTTTAATAATTAAAAAAATTGAAGTTTTTTTTCAAAAATTAAGTCATTTGTTTTTCTCTTTCCTTACGTTCATTTCTCTTTCCCAACTGCCATTTTCTGTTTGTTGCGTTCATTACCTTTTTTTAAACTGTCTGTTGGCTATGTTTATCCTTCGGGTATTGTTGAATACCCGGCATAATAATTGACCTGATAAAATTAATGGTTTTTCACATGCTAATGTATAAATTGATTTATCGTCTATTTAGGTAGTGTTTTTTTCTAGAACAGTTACTAGGTTTTGTGTTCCTGTTAGATCTGTTTTTCAGAAAACATGCTATTTTAGTCTAGTTTTTTATGGATGTTGGTTTCATTGCTGTAACGTTTTCAAATCAATTTCCAAGAGCCTAAAAAGTCATTGTAATAATTCATTTACATTATTAGTGTAAAATTTCTGTTGGAAGCCTTTGAAAGGTCTTTAAAAAGGCTTGAACGAGTATTCAATAATTCTCATTTCACTGTGTTTTTGTCTATGAATACTGTTTGCAATAATTTCCAAAATGAAGACTCTGCCTCTCAGGAAAGTTGATCTAATTAATTGAAATAGAATAGTTCAAAATATAAGAATTTTTTTTGTAGAGTATATGAAAGTATACAGCTGACGTGCCTCATTTTTGATAAAGCGAGCGTGGTGTTATTTATGGCATTTTTACACTCAAACTTTTAAATAAAAGCGCTCATTTTGGTGACACATTTATTGCATATTATTGGCAGTTAGGTAGCATGTGTTCTCTACATTTTTAATTGCTATTTTTTGGTTTCCGCAAGCTCCAGCGGCACAAAGCTGTACGTCAGTTGAATTTAGTACTTCAGTGCCCAAGGACTGAGGTTTGAATCCCGTTCAGATCGTTTGTATTTTTCAAAACTAATTTTTCCTATTTTTTGCCCTTTTGAAGCTACTTCATGGCGGTTTTTGCTTGTTTGCGAAGTGCAGCTGCGCCTTTTTGTGAAAAGAATTATTATAAAAAATAGACTTACCTCTCGAAAAACGGCACTGATTTTTTCAGGGCGGATTTTGCTAATTTTTTTAGGTCGACTAAGTCCGATCCATTACAAAGCACCATAAATACCCTATTCCAAGGAAGTTCTCTGCGCTGCAGACGATTGGCTAGATAAATGGCCAAAAAGCCGTTTTTGGGATGTTTTTTGAAAGTTTTGGCTGCTAAATTGCGTTTTTTAGGCACGCTCTCCAACATTAGTCTATTTTGGCGCCTTTAAAGGTTTTCGGGTCGGTCGGCCAAAATTGGTACTGAATGGTACGGCCAAAAATGGTACTTAAATGGTGAAAAAAATAGATGCGTGATTTCAAAGTACGAATTTTCTAACCCTACTTTTTATTAACTGTTATGAAAAAGGTTGCATAAACATGTCTATTTGATGCATTTTTTTCGGCGGTTGGGCTGGGAAATGATCATTTATGGGGTTTTAATGGTACCAAATGACTGCCTAAAAAGATTCCATAACCGGTGTTGAATTCATTGTTACTTTAATGAAAGCTTAAAATCATAATCATGAAGCAATTTTACGTGTGTTAATTATTGTGCTAATCTATGCTACAATTATACATAGTGGTTAGAAACTTTAGGACACTATCCAGCGACCAAAAGATCCATTTAGTGTCCCCTCTGGTCAATGATTTTGTAAATGTATAAAATTCTGGTGTGTATATTTTTGAATCAGAGAAAAAAATTTCTGAGAAAAAAATTTTTGAGAAAGCTTTTTAGGTCGGTTACAAAATCGTGTTTTACTGGCGCGCTCACCAACATAAGTATATATTGGCACCTTAAGAAAAATTCTTAGAGCGGCCGGCCGAAAAAGGTTGTCCCAAAGTAGTACTAAATGCTGACCCGTTTTGGTGCTAAGGGGGTCGAATTCAAATTTTCTCCCAAAAATTACCCTTGCCTATCGTTCCATTTTTCTCTCATTAGGCCAGTTTTTGTATAAAAAAGTGTCAATCATAAAAGGTGCTTGGAAAGTAAAGACCGAGGTGCTTTTTTCTTCAAAGTTCTGAAGTTGGGAAATATTGAGAACAGTTCAATCGAAGTTATGCTTGAGTTGTTTTGTGCGTTTCCAACTGTCTGTTGTCTGTGTTTCGCTGATTGCAAGCTTCTATGATTATGTCATTAGTAACCTGTTTCAGTCGTCCCAGGTGTTGGACAGCTTGTTTCTCCTTGTCAGCCAGCCGCTAATGGTCTCAACTATGAAACTGTTTGCTCTAGAAGGTAACACCCCAGATTAATCAGGCATCCTTAAAACCAGCTTTAAGTTTTAAGTTATGATGCAGATATGAGGAGTAAAAACTAATTAACTGCAACTAATGCTAGTAATTCAATATTGCAGCGATTGATGCATTGTGCAGTTGTTCGCTTGGAATCAAAACACTTCTGGCATCGAATGGATTTGTGAAAATGCTGGAAATTCTGAACTGCTCCAAATGCACGAGGATCAACCACGCCATCTCAGTGATTGCGCACAAGATCAACATCTACGAGTGTGTTCATCTGTGTCACAAGCAGAGCATTGAGGTGTCGAGGAAGATGAGAAGCTGCGCCTCTGACTCGCTCATGCTGATCGACGCCGAGGGAGTATCGAACGCATTCGCTGCTCTTCTGGAAGCGCTAGAAAGCTATGCCCACAATCAGATCAGAGTTCCAGAGGGAGTGAAGAAACTGGAGCCACGTGCCTATGATGGCTTCATGTTCCGTCTGATTAGTGAGAGAGGTCTGCTAGACCAGATGCAGCTGCTGTTGGCGAGTCCGTTGAACCAGTCGTGCAGTAAGCTAGTGGCTACTCTGTTAAGGCTACTAGACTGGCTGCTGCAGTCCAACGAGGGAAGGGCCTTTCTAGTGCACAACGGGGATGCAGTCAAGGGTTGTGTCCAGGGCCTCCTTGGTGGCACAGAGCAGGGCAATGAGGAGGGGCGTGGAGTGGGTTGGGATGTAGATCGGGATGAGGGACAGAAGAGAATGGCAGCTCAGCTGATCAGCGCCATCAAAGTTAGAACCTCATCGGTCTCTTTTTTGTCCCATAATGCATAATTGCAGTTAAATTGTAAATCAATGATACAACTTCGCAACAATATGTAACAAGCATGGGCATTATTTTACATGCAGCTCTTCCAGTTGCTTTTGTCAGAAATAGCACTTTGGGATTCCCAGTGAACAGTATGTAATTGTTTTAGACGACAGAAGTGGTGGATGAGTTGAAAAGCTGCAAGCTGAGAGACAGAGAGAAGGCGACAGTGGAGAAGACGAAAGTTGTCCTAGAGCGCATCTACACTCTTTTGCGTGAAGGCAAGTCTTAACATCGTGTAGCTGTTATTTAGGCATTTTTGCTCCCTGATCGCAATGCAAAATTTTTCATTATTCTTTTCGTTCGCTTTGATAAACGCAGTTAAGAATCTCATGTAGGTCGAAATGAGTTTTTGTTATTCTTTATATTTAGAGTCGATCAAAAATAGCATGTGCTCTGACATTCGAATAGTAATGAATTAGCACGGTTGATGCATTTTTGATTCATCAAATGAACCGAAAAAAGCTATTTGTTTCAAACAAGATCAGAATAATAAAAACTCGATTTCAGAAACTTTCTAACTCTATATATCTCGCAATTTTTTGAAATGCATAATTTTTACATAATGTGGCTTTATGCCTTGCGATTTGTTACATGCAAAGTTAGTGTGGATGCCTTCAGTTTTTGATATTCCAAATTATCTATCGCAAAATTGAGTCTATTGGAAATTGTTAGCATATGTAGCTGCTTTATTCGTGACTAGTGTTTGTCGGTTTTTAAGCTTGCGTGGCTGAGTGGATATTGCGTGAGACTCAAAATCTCTTGATTGCAGTAGGTCTCAGATTGTAATCCTACAGGTAGCCGAGTTTTTGCTAATCGAGGCTTATTTCTACTTTTTTTATTTCACTTGATAGAGCTGCTTTTTGGTCGTGTTCTCGGAAGTGTTTGCGAAGTGCAGCTTCGCCTCTATGTTTTATGTCAAACTGTGGCCGGCGGAAGTTTCGGTGCTTTTTCGTCTAGCGTAACAGCCGTTTTTTTTCTAAAACTATTACCGGCTCAAACGATTGTTGTGTGTGGTATGTTGTATTGATGTTTTATATGGTTGTATGAGTGTGTTTTAGACGCGGAAACAGTGGCTATCGTGCTCAGACAGACCGACTCTCTCAAGTTCATCTCGCACTTGTTGGTGTCGCACGTGCAGCAGCAGCAAAGATCCCCCCACTCGGACACAGCTGCAGCAGCAGCAGAACAGTCCAAAGCCACTAGGAGGTCAGTGACCTTCGAAGGCCAGCAGCAGACTAAAGTGGAGCAGAGTGGTACAGGCACTGAGGTGGACCATGTGGTTCTGTTGGCCACCACTGTTCTGCAGAGGGCGGCTGAGACGGATGAGTCACACGTGGAGACATGGGCGCTCATGTAAGTCACAACAATAACAACAACCACAACACCTCGCTTTCCAACATATCATCCGTGATAGCAACAGCTTCAAAATTCGCGTTTTTAATGTTTTACTTTCAATGCATGAGCTTCAATTCCTAATATTCGGCCAAGTTTTTTTTTTCGTTTGAGGTTTTGTTCTGAGGTTTTTGTTCATGATAGAATTTTTCTGTTTTTCATTAAGCTGCTGTGAAAGTATGAAAAATTTGATATTGAGAAAAGGACGACGTTTTGTTTTAGTGATTACTGCTCGTTTCAGACTGCTGCAGTTGCCTGAAGTAGAAGAAGCGCCTCCGATTCTCGGCTGGACTGAGTCGTGCAGAGGAAAGGAAGAGGGCGCGAGATCGTGTCTTGATGGCATTTCGTGTCACAGAATGAGGGAACTGTGCAAGTGGCTGGAACCAATGCGGGATGTGCAGATTGCTCTTAAGCATGCAGCTGCAACCAGTCAGAAGAAGATGAAAAAGGAGGAGGAGGAGGAGAGTCTGAAACAGCTGACTGAAATCGGAATCGCACATGTGGAACAGCTGGTGTATTTCATGAAGCATCGGCTGGAGCAGTTTGGCGCCAGATTTGTCCTCGAGGCACCAGGTTATGATACTTTCTGCTGAACCACTCTGAACTGTTCAATCACATTTGCTCTTTGAAATTGAACGGATGATTGTTTACGCTCTACTTTTTTCAGGCTTCAACTTGTCTAACAGAACCTCTGAATCATTAGATTACTTGTTTGTTGCTGGCTTTCACAAAATATTCCGGCCAATTGTGTCTTCTTAAATTATCCTAATCATCCTAAACAGTCTTGACTTTTGTTGTAATTTAGTAATTATGTCGCTGATTATAACGAATACACTTATTAGGTCGTGGTGATTTGTTTTTCGGCAAGGTAAATGTCTTAAAAGTTGCTCACACTAAAATTTGGCTTTTCGTTGTTCACACTAGCCTGCTTGCGAGCGTTAGTGTGTTAGTACCAACGTTTTTTTCTAACCTAATGTAGCATTGAAATTAGCAGAACATCTGTTCTCTGCTGTATTTGTGGCTAGTGTATGTCTTAAATTAAGTGTCCGTAGCTGAGTGGGTAGTGCGTGAGACTCAAAATCTCTTGGTCGCAGTAGGTCGTATATTCGAATCCGAGACGTAGCCGAATTTTAACTAATTCGAGTCTTGTATCTATGTTTAAAAAGCTGCTTTTGTCGTCTTTTCGCTAGTGCTTGCGAAGCGCAGCTTCGCCTCAGTGTTTACTTTTGATGTAAAAGTACTTCTTTTGAAAATAGATATGAAGTTTTATTGACTCTCTAAAATTTTGAAGTTTTATTGACTCTCTTGGCGCCGTTTTTCATTGTAACTTAAGGACTTAAGGTCAATTTTTTTAACTGTAACTTTTGAAAAAACCAACCCTGACTTCGTATATTTTCCTTCATGCTTTGCTAAGTATATGAGTTTTTTGGCTTCTTTTTTTCTTCAGGACAACGTCTTTCTCACGAAATTTGATTTTTTCGCGGCTGGAAGTTGGCTTTTTAAAAAAAATCAACTGAAATGTTGATTCAGTGTGCTTTAATTGTGTTTCCATCAAATTAGTGCCAATCATAAAGAAATTTGAAGCTTGAACTTGATGTTTTTCTTCAAAATTAGAATGTTGAAAAAACAACGTTGAATCATTCAGTTTTTTGGTTAGCTTTGTTTTTTCTCTGATATTTGTTGTGTGGATAAATAGTATTGGCTTACATGCTATTGGCTGCCAATAATTGTCATAGTGGACTAATATTGCGTCATTTATAAAGGGATATATGTTTTCATCTTTTGTGCTTTAAGAGAGGGTGGAGGGCCGAGAAATACCGGGTTTCAAAACTTTATAGCTCAAAGTTTTGCTCTCGGATCAATTGTTGCTGCTCGGTGAGTTTTCAGATTGTTCGGTTTGCCGACATTTTTCTTAAAAGATCTAGGGAGCAGTATCGAATCCGATACTTGGCCGAACTTATACTAATCCGAGGCTTATCAGCCTGTTCCACTTTATAGAGCTGCTTTTTTGCCGTGTTCACGCTAGTGTTTGCGAAGAGCAGCATCGCCCGTGTGCGAAATTCTGAGGTTATTTCGGCTTCAAGATGTGGCGGTTTGCAGGTATCGCGGTTTGATGAACAAGCGCTGGGATCGATTCCTTCTGTGGCCATGTACAGTTTTAATATGACTCTTTTCCACTTTCTCCCCATATTTCAAATTTTCAATTTTTTCAGTTGTCTTACGTGTTATTATGGCTGAATGCGTTTACGATGAAAGGTATGAAGAACAGTGAAAAATAGTTAGTTTGTTCACCATGCAAATTTTCATTACATTATGAAAACGCGTAGTTACTTTTTCAAAACTGAAATTCAAGCGTGGGGAAATTGGAAAAGAGTGTAAGATTTAATTGCAATTCTTTCAGGTTTAAATTTCGCCCCTTGTTGTTTTTGTTCTGTTTTGAGCTCTATTCCACGTTTTTGTTAATTAAATCTGCCTAGTGCAGATTTGTCTCTATGCCACAAGCTGTACTGCACCGAGATCTCTGTATTGTTGATCAACATGTATTGCAGGGATGATATCGTGTTTACGCGTCATTCTCCGGCTTCTAAAGAAGCCAACTGTGGATGAGGAGCGTGAGCCGCAAGCAAACTTGGCTGCGTTGATAAACCTTTTTGAAGCATCAGGATACGACATTCTACTGCGCCTGGTGAATTCGGCAGTTGTTCAAAACTCCTCCTTCATCTGGAGGTCCCATCAGTTGAACTCAAAGTTACCTGAAGCAATAACAACGCAGTGTGTGGATTTTGCGGTTGCTGTGTTGGAGATAATGAAGCTGATGATTGGGAAGCTGATGTCGTCCAATGAGATCCCCTTCCGAGATCTGAGAGTGGTTGAAGCGGTGATGACTCTGCAGTCTGTAGTCTGCTCCAAGGTCAGAGGTGGCGATAGAGTGAAGTTGAAGATGAAGGCGACACGAGTGAAGGAGCTAGTCGTGCACATTCTCTCTATGTACACGCGCACAGCTTCCACTGCACACAATACAGGTGAGCATTTTGAGGAGCACCCTTGTTTTTCTCACCCTCATTTTGTATCTACTCACCCTCATTTTTGTATCTACAATTACTTAGTTTCAAATAAAGTCCTTTTTGTAAAAAAAAAGGGACTTTGAATGGCGAACAACGTGATTCTTATTTCAAAAATAAATTTTAATCATCAGATTTCCCAGTGAAAAGAGTCACTGATTATAAGTGCGACCCAGTTATTTTGACTTTTGTTTGAGTTGAACACGTTTGCGTGATATCATTTTCACGGATAAGTTAACTGAAATAATTCTGCTTCTCTTTGTTTCTTATATTTCTTTAACACTTGTGGAGGTTACATTAAATCAATTTTGATTTCTCCGCTCTTCCGGTGATTATACGGTAAGCCGCTTTTCCATACACTATAAACTGCTAGTTATTTGATCTTGTGTAGCTGCGATAAAAAAAACTCTCTGTTATGGTTTCACCAGAGCGCAAACGAAGTCAATCGTTCATTCGATGAAAAAATTTATGTTTTACTGTTTTGTTGCTTTCTGGACTTGGCTTCTAATTTTAGAATTGAACTTATGTTTTTCGTCACTACCACTGAATATATGATTACCCATCTATTCTGATGTTTTTGATGCCTTGATCATATTACTCATTCTGTTCAACAAAAGGTTTTTATCAGCCATAAAATTCAACTAAGTTTTGATTTTGGTTCGTTTTTGTTTTCCGGATTCTGGTATTCGATTTGCAAAGTGTCCGATTCTGTTTCTAGTTTCCACTCAAGCTATGCTTAACAAAAATAATCCTCTTTGGACCTTTTTTTATATTGCCAGATTCTGCAATGAACTGAGGTTTTGTCACTATCAAGGGTTTTTTAACTGAGATTTGTATCAATTGAATGTGCTAGCTCGATTAACAAATCATCTTGGTTTTGATTGGTTAAAACAAGTATCTTATTCTCTGAGTTCTTTTTTTTGCATCAGGTGTTCCTCTGTTCGTTAGTTACAAGATTTGAATGGAAAAACTCTTTACTATATTTTCAATTAGTTTTTCTTTCGAGGATGCACTGTTTTTTTACTTATAGGCTTGGCTTGTTAATTGTAAATTGAGATGATGTTTTTCGTCACTACCACTGAATATATGATTACCATTTTATTCTGATGTTTTCGATGCCTGGTTCATGTTATTCATTAGCTTCAACAAAAGTTTTTCGTATCAGCCATAAAATTGAGCTCAGGTTTGATTTTGGTTCGTTTTTGTTTTCCGGATTCTGGTACTCGATTTGCAAAGTGTCCGATTCGGTTTCTAGTGTCCACTCAAGCTATGCTTAACAAAAATAATACTCTTTGGACCTTTTTTTATATTGTCAGATTCTGCAATGAACAGGTTTTGTCACTATCAAGGGTTTTTTAACTGAGATTTGTATCAATTGAATGTGTTAGCTCGATTAACAAATCATCTTGGTTTTGATTGATTAAAACGAAGTATCTTATTCTCTGAGTTTTTTTGCTTCAGGTGTTCCTTTGTTCATTAGTTACAAGATTTGAATGGAAAACCTCTTAACTTTTTTTTCAAATAATTTTTCTTTCGAGGACGCACTTTTTTTATAATCTTGGCTTGATAATTGTAAATTGAGATGATGTTTTTCGTCACTACCACTGATTATATGATTACCATTTTATTCTGATTTTTTTGATGCCTGGTTCATATTACTCATTAGCTTCAACAAAAGTTTCAGTCGTAGCAGCCATAAAATTGAGCTCAGTTTTGATTTTGGTTCGTTTTTGTTTTCTGGATTCAGGTACTTGATTTGCTAAGTGTCCGATTCTGTTTCTAGTTTCCACTCAAGCTATGCTCAACAAAAATAATTCTGTTTTGGGGCTCTTGATTTCATCTGCTTAATTCTGCAATGAACGGAGGTTTTGGCACTATCAAGGGTTTTTTAACTGAGTTTTGTATACGTTGAGTGTGTTTGCTCGACTTGAAAATCATCTTGGTTTGATTAATTAAAACGAAATATTTTATTCTGGTTTATTTTGCTTCAGGTGTTCGTTTTTTGGTTAAGTACAAGATGTTAATGGAAAAATTCTTTACTTAATTTTAAGCGATGTTTCTTTCGAGGTTGCACTGTTTTTTTTTACTGATAGGCTTGGCTTTGTTAATTGTAAATTTAGATGATGTTTTTCGTCACTGCCACTGAATATATGGTTACCATTTTATTCTGACGTTTTCGATGCCTGGTTCATGTTATTCATTAGCTTCAACAAAAGTTCCTATCGTATCAGTCATAAAATTGAGCTCAGGTTTGATTTTGGTTCGTTTTTGTTTTCCGGATTCTGGTACTCGATTTGCAAAGTGTCCGATTCTGTTTCTAGTGTCCACTCAAGCTATGCGTAACAAAAATAATCCTCGTTGGACCTTTTTTTATATCGCCAGATTCTGCAATGAACTGAGGTTTTGTCACTATCAAGGGTTTTTAACTGATATTTGTATCAATTGAATGTGTTAGTTCGATTAACAAATCATCTTGGTTTTGATTGATTAAAACAAGTATCTTATTCTCTGAGTTCTTTTTTTTTGCTTCAGGTGTTCCTTTGTTTATTAGTTACAAGGTCTGAATGGAAAAACTCTTTACTTTATTTTCAAATAATTTTTCTTTAGAAGATGCACTGTTTTTTTACTCATAGGCTTGGCTTGTTAATTGTAAATTGAGATGATGTTTTTCGTCACTACCACTGAATAAATGATCACTTTTTTTCTGATGTTTTCGATGCCTGGTTCATATTACTCTTTAGCTTCAACAAAAGTTTCTGTCGTATCAGCCATAAAATTGAGCTCAGTTTTGATTTTAGTTAGTTTTTGTTTTCTTGATTCAGGTACTTGATTTGCAAAATGACCGATTCTGTTTCTATTTTCCACTCAAGCTATGCTTAACAAAAATAATCCTCTTTGGACCTTTTTTATTTTGCCAGATTCTGCATTGAACTGAGGTTTTGTCACTATCAAGGGTTTTCTAACTGAGATTTGTATCAATTGAATGTGTTAGCTCGATTAACAAATCATCTTGGTTTTGATTGATTAAAACAAGTTTCTTATTCTCTGAGTTCTTTTTCTTTGCTTCAGGTGTTCCTCTGATCGTTAGTTAAAAGATTTGAATGGAAAAACTCTTTACTTTTTTTTTAAAATAATTTTTCTTTCGAGGATGCACTGTTTTTTTACTTATAGGCTTGGCTTGTTAATTTTTTAATTGATATGATGTTTTTCGTCACTACCACTGAATATATGATTACTTTTTTTCTGATGTTTTCGATGCCTGGTTCATATTACTCTTTAGTTTCAACAAAAGTTTCTGTCGTATCAGCCATAAAATTGAGCTCAGTTTTGATTTTAGTTAGTTTTTGTTTTCTTGATTCAGCTACTTGATTTGCAAAGTGACCGATTCTGTTTCTAGTTTCCACTCAAGCTATGCTTAACAAAAATAATCCTCTTTGGACCTTTTTTATATTGCCAGATTCTGCAATGAATTGAGGTTTTGTCACTATCAAGGGTTTTGATTAAAACAAGTTTCTTATTCTCTGAGTTCTTTTTTTGCTTCAGGTGTTCCTCTGTTCGTTAGTTAAAAGATTTGAATGGAAAAACTCTTTACTTTATTTTCAAATAATTTTTCTTTCGAGGATGCACTGTTTTTTTACTTATAGGCTTGGCTTGTTAATTGTAAATTGAGATGATGTTTTTCGTCACTACCACTGAATATATGATTACCATTCTTTTCTGATGTTTTCGATGCCTGGTTCATGTTATTCATTAGCTTCAACAAAAGTCTGTCGTATCAGCCATAAAATTGAGCTCAGGTTTGATTTTGGTTCGTTTTTGTTTTCCGGATTCCGGTACTCGATTTGCAAAGCGTTCGATTCTGTTTCAAGTGTCCACTCAAGCTATGCTTAACAAAAATAATCTTGTTTGGACCTTTTTTTATATTGCCAGATTCTGCAATGAACTGAGGTTTTGTCACTATCAAGGGTTTTTTAACTGAGATTTGTATCAATTGAATGTGTTAGCTCGATTAACAAATCATCTTGGTTTTGATTGATTAAAACAAGTATCTTATTCTCTGAGTTCTTTTTTTTTTGCTTCAGGTGTTCCTTTGTTTATTAGTTACAAGATCTGAATAGAAAAACTTTACTTTATTTTCAAATAATTTTTCTTTAGTAGATGCACCGTTTTTTTACTCATAGGCTTTGCTTGTTAATTGTAAATTGAGATGATGTTTTTCGTCACTACCACTGAATATATGATTACTGTTTTTTCTGATGTTTTCGATGCCTGGTTCATATTACTCATTAGCTTCAACAAAAGTTTCTGTCGTATCAGCCATAAAATTGAGCTCAGTTTTGATTTTAGTTAGTTTTTGTTTTCTTGATTCAGGTACTTGATTTGCAAAATGACCGATTCTGTTTCTAGTTTCCACTCAAGCTATGCTTAACAAAAATAATCCTCTTTGGACCTTTTTTTATATTGCCAGATTCTGCAATGAACTGAGGTTTTGTCACTATCAAGGGTTTTCTAACTGAGATTTGTATCAATTGAATGTGTTAGCTCGATTAACAAATCATCTTGGTTTTGATTGGTTAAAACAAGTTTCCTATTCTCTGAGTTCTTTTTCTTTGCTTCAGGTGTTCCTCTGATCGTTAGTTAAAAGATTTGAATGGAAAAACTCTTTACTTTTTTTTTCAAATAATTTTTCTTTCGAGGATGCACTGTTTTTTCTACTTATAGGCTTGGCTTGTTAATTTTTTAATTGATATGATGTTTTTCGTCACTACCACTGAATATATGATTAATTTTTTCTGATGTTTTCGATGCCTGGTTCATATTACTCTTTAGTTTCAACAAAAGTTTCTGTCGTATCAGCCATAAAATTCAGCTCAGTTTTGATTTTAGTTAGTTTTTGTTTTCTTGATTCAGGTGCTTGATTTGCAAAGTGACCGATTCTGTTTCTAGTTTCCACTCAAGCT